ATCCCAGCGCCGGGTCGGATTCTGGGGGGAAACTGAAATAGTCCAGGAGAATGGATCTAACCTTCTCAACGGTGTACTCATCGACTCCCAGCAACCCAGCAATAGTAGAGGGCGAGCTTTCAGGGATAAAATGCAAAGGTTTGATCTTCCAACTCACAAATTTGCTAACCAGAGCTTGCTGATCCTTATCGGAAACATGCAAGGTGGCCAAAGCAACAGCATCTTTGACATCCCTTTCATCTTCCTGATCGAGAAATTGTTTGGCCCTCGTCTGTTGAACAGCTTTGCCCATGAGCTTTCGACAAGCAGTTTTGAGACCCAAGACTTGGGCTTCAGACATCTTGATAAGTGCCATAATAACCCGGGTTTTCTCTGCAAGAATTTGCGCATAGGTTCGATACCGGTTCAAGGGCAAGAGGTCCCTAATTTCATCGTTGAACGGTGTGAGCTGCAAATACTGCCCCAGTCTCATAAGATCCAATGGTACCTCCTGTTCAAGCATACCCCCCTGTAAGGATCTTTTGCGAGGCAAGGCCGGTCGTCCATCGATGCCCAGCATAGGCTCTTCCTTCATCCACACCTCAACCCGTCTTATGCGGGGAAGAGGAGGCCGGGGATCTGTGTCTTCAACATAGATCTTCTTGTGCTTGCGCCTCCTCCGCTTGTGCGGCTGGTCCTCACCTCCACTCGTCGTAGCCGGGGGCGGCGTACCTTCACGAGGTCGATCATAGTTTGGGGCCGTGGTGAAAGTCCGAATATCAGCGAAGTGAACCTTCATACGTCGACGGTCCTTGCCGATTTTCCTCCAAGCCGGCTCTCTTTTCGTGGGCTCATCATGTTGATCGCTCTGCAAAATTGTATCATCATCGGAGGAATAGTAAGAGTAATCGTCTCCACCGCCTCCGCAAATATGACGGGTAAGCTCCATGCCACTTGCACCGAGATAGGCTAGGAAGCAAATCATAAAGAGAAAAAGCCTGCAACTGCGCCATTGCTCCGTGTGCTCTGTACCCCATAGTCCAGCTCCGCCGCTGACATCTCTCCTCAACCGCGGCAAAGGGCGCCCCTCGGGAGCGGGGTCCGAAGACTATTATGAAGCGGCCTCCCCCCGGGAGCGGGATCGTGACTTAAATCGGATCCTTGGCTGCCAGGCTGGCGCGTCCGACAAACTCCACACTTCTCCCAAGCCTCGATATCCGTCGGAACCCGAGGCCTGATCCACAACATCTGCTACCTCTTCTTCTCCATGCAGCTCCTTATATTCTATGCTTTCATGTTCCTCGGTTTCCACGAGGACTTCTTCCATCTCTTCTTTCACTTCCTCATTTCCTTCACCATCATCATCTGGAGGTCGTGAAGAGTCCCAGGGCTCCAAACCAAGCCTCCGACATTTGGCTGCAAATATCTCGTCCTGATCTATCTGCAGGTGTAGCACACAATATCCATATTGCCAAATCATCCTGTAGTCATGAGGTCCGCGAGCCCAGTATACATTGTACAACAGCTCTGGTGGAATGTCCTGGCCCACCAAATAGACCCCATTGGTTGATTTGTACAAGGGCATCTCTGCATCAAGCAGTTGTTGGATATGTACTGCAACCACCAGATCACAACCCGGCCGCATACCTGATTGTCCATGGTTCACAAAATAGGTATTGCTGAAATGCACGTGTTGCCTGTGGCCACATCGCAGCCCCTGACGTCTGATGGACCCCCACGCCGCCAAATATGTGCCATGAAATAGAGTGGGCTGATCCACCTCATCCAGCGTTGTAATCTGGCGATGCATATCATTGCTGAAGTCCAACTCCTTGTTGTGGCCTTGGGTGGCCCGTATGAGCCAACCTTCTTCCCCTTGAAGAAGCTCAAATCTTCCTTTCTCGCACTTGTTGACCGCCTGCAGCACGCTGTCAATCGAGGCATGTGGCTTCCGAGCCAAAATATCCTCCACCTTGACATAGCCCTCGTCGTCCATCGAAATACCCTCTTTGATTGCTCCATGCCGAAGAAGAAAATAAAGGTACCGACCGATATCGTATGTAACTCCTGGAATGTCTGTAAATTGCGCCCTGTTCTGTCCTTTACCGTTTCCTCTTCCTCCTCCATGAAGATCAGAGCCTGTGCGGGCATCATTTGCATCCATCTCAGAGTCATGAGCATATAAGTCAAAAGGGGACCGCTTATAAGCTTCCCATGAGACTGCTCGCTCCTCAAGCCAAATACTGTTCACCCGAATAGCTTCAAAGTGATTGTTCAATAGCCTGAGCATCATCGGCTTGATCTGCATGTCCTGAACTGTAGGCATGAACCTCACCACCTGCCCGGTGTGTTTATAGTTGCACCCATTGCCCACGTTGACCACCCAGATTTCCTGCTTCAAAAAATCCGAAGCTGCTTGAATTGCGTCCTCATCTGCCCATTTGCCTCCTGCTTTGAGCTTCTTCTGTATCTCCAGGGTGGAGTTGCCAAGGACCTGAAACTTGATCTTTCTCCAACTCCTTGAGTGCCCAAAGCGAAGCTGACTGATTGCATACCAAAAGCAGTTGCCTCTCCCCACATTGCACAAAATCCTGCCAGTGACCGTCCCGAGAGCCGCCGTGGGGCCGTCAAGGTGTCTCCCAAACCTGTCGAGGTCAATGCTCTCCTCTCCATGCTGCTCTTCCTCCGACTTGTCCAAATTGCAAGCTCGGACAAGAAGTACCCAAATCCTGTGCAGCGCCTGCATGCACACCATGGCGAGCATAGCGACCGCCACACCGGCAATCAGACAGCCACTCAGAAGGCTCACGCCCCTCGGGCTGCTTCCATGGCTGATGCTCCAATTCACACTGATTGAGCCATATGGGTACCCAAACCGAGCAGAATCTCCCATATAAAAGCCCACAGCATGCTCAGGGAAGCCATTGTGGGGTAAGTACCCTCGAACCCTCGAATAGACCAATCCATTTCAAGGGTACATGAGGCCCAAATAATCACAAATAAGGGGAGCCGAAAGGGGATCCAAGGGGTCTGTCTGCACCTCCCCTGTACCCAAATACGACACCCGGCCTGTATCTCATCTGCTTCATGTAGAATGAGCATCAATAAGCTCATCAATATTGCTGCTCCTTCACAAAGATACCGACATATAGAAATGTATAAAATACCAAAGGCGCCGACGATGAGGTACTCAATAACCGCATCAATAGGCCGCTGACGAAGAAAAATACCAACCAAAATCCACCAATAATCATCAATACCAAATAGCACCAGGTCATCTCTGCAGTCCTTGGTGGTCCTCACTCTGCTCCAGATGAGGGAGGTCCAATAGGCAGCTTTTCCAGGAGAAAAATAAACACCATTCCAAATCACCATGAACATCTTCGAAAACAGACTAAGAAAAGAATAACAATTTCCCACCTGGGATTCCAGTAGAATCCCCTCTTCCACTTCTCCAAGAGATAAGGAAAACATGAACAAGTTGACCAGAAAGGCCAACATCAACCCCTGTCCCCAAATCTGTAACTGTCCGGGTGATGGGGCCATGACCAAGGAGGGGTCAGGTCCTACCGAACAGCTAACAGCTGTCACCGCGGGAAGGCTTGAGGCTGAAACAGCTGTTTTGATTGTGGCTCAATTGGCTTCGGGCCCAACCAAAAGGAAAAACTGAGGGCAAGAAACGTCCTCAAAACTAGCTCAGCTTCTGCGCCCGACTCAGCATACTGTCACGTGGTCGGTCGTAGTCCGTATCCGGCAACCTTAAAACCTAGTGTAGAGGGTATCCCAAAAAGAGATCCTGCCCTCTTGTAGAGGACGCTCTTTACAGATTCTGAAGCGAGAGCTGGTAAAAAGTTCACCCAGGATCCTGCGCACAGATCCTGCGATGTCCTATCAAGACCCCATCCACAGATCCCGCAAGAATCCTTCTACAGAGATCTTGCTCGGGCATTTACGGAAACTGTTGCTCTCGCAACCTGCTTCCATTTTGTACATGTCACCTCACCTGTTGAATGTTTCAGAAAATGTTCACTCCTCCCCCGACCCTGTTTGGGGTCGCTTGCTGGTGTGATTTTTAGCGCTCCATTTTGGGGCCATCTTTTTCAAGTCCTTATCACTTCGCAGAGTTTCATGCTTTCTGTGCTTTCAACCTTGAATTCGCGAGCTTTTAGTAAAAGGGTAGTGCACACTTGAAAGCCGCAAATTTTCAGTACACGTGTAGCACACAAAGTACGCACTGGCAACTCTAGCTCGGAAAAGTCGCAACTCTTCAGTGCGAGCGTAGCACGCAAAGTGCATTTTGTCAGCTCCAGCTCAAAAATCGCAACTGTTCAGTGCAAATTGTAGCGCGCAAAGTAATTGCAGCTCCAGATCGAAAATCGCAAATGTTCAGTTCCAACGCAGTACGCTTTGGCAGCTCCAGCTCAAACATAGCATCTGTTCAGTCGTTGCACTCCGGAAACTTGTGGATGTGAGGAAAGGCGTGCAAAAGGCAATTTCTGTGAAAAACTTGCTTATTGTCCTTATTGTTTTGTTATCGTTTTGTGTTGCTACAACTCCTGCTGACAAGGCTGCTTCCCACCATCGCTGTGTGTGTGTGTCTATCTTCTTTTGTTTAACTCCTTATCACTTTGTTGGAAAACCGGGCAGTTTTTGGCACAGGGGATCTCAGGAGACTAGACTTAAATCAACAATCTGTTCAAACAACCTCACTTGCTTCAAAGGATTCAGATCCTCTAAATCAGATGGTATTTGGGTGACTTGCTTGACTCGCCCTGTATGTGTGCCTGTTTTTGAGGGCACCCGCTTTCAGGTTGGTTGAACGGGACACCAAACGGAAAATCATCATTGCGTGGTCCAAGTCCCCAAATTTGACTCGCCCATCCATCCTCTACGGGGCGAGCCGCGAAATGCCAAAACCAGTCCTAGGTCCTCCAGTAGAGAGGTTAGAATAAGGGTACCCTTTTTTCTCTGTAGTCTATTTCAGTAGGGGGAACCCTCCCCCAAAAAAGGGTAAACCGCGCCTCCTGCGCCACTAGAGGTGTGACCCCCTTCGGGGGTGACGCCTTCACGGCGGCGGCCGCCGCCTGTAGAGGACGCGAGAGGGAGGAGACATGGATGGTTCATAGGGGTAGCGAATCTGCTAGGGTTCTGGGAAACCTGAAAATGCCAGGTTACACCAAAAAGGATGGTTCGGTTTGGGCTTATACCAGCAAGGAAAGGGCAAGCTGTGGTGCAACAACGCACTTTGAGATGGTGGAGCGAAACTTGAACTGACACTACTGGAGCACGCTTTTAAAGGGTAGGGGTCTCTTGAGGAAACCACCAGGCTATCAAGTCTTGTTTGACGTTGAAAGATCGAGCTTCCCATTGCCAAAGTCATTCGTGCAAGTGGTAGGTTGAAGGGAAACAACCCCAGTTTCAAGGTAAGGTCAGCAAGTCAGCAAAGGAACCTACCTCGGGGGTCTTAGTTCATGGCGATTTCCTCTCCTAATGGTCCCAAAAGCGGCTTTCTAGATCCATGGAAGAGTTCTTCTCCCCAGTTCTGTTTCAAGGGAGGCCACTTTTTAGTGGGGACTCCTTTCTTGCATGGGTTAAATGCTCCTGATTCATCGGGGAGGGATTATGAATCGCGGGTCGACATTACCTTTTCTCAATGACATGTCAATCACCCCGCCAGCACAGGGGGGCTACGTGAGAATTTCTTCCAGGTACCCTTTTAAGTGTTCTCAAAATGGTCGACCCACTTTTGGTTGGCATGAAAAGGAAGCCAACAGGAAACCAGCCATTCTAGGCGACCACTGCTTTTCGGACCACCCTCTTGGGCTTGCAAACGGAAGCCAGAAAAAAAGGGGAAACCACCCACTGGAGTTTGGAATCTGAGAACAGACCTCAAGAAGACAACCCCAAATGAGGGACTGATCAATGAGGGAACTCCGGTGGTGTGTTCATCAGCGCCAACTCAGAAAAGGAACCTTCATTTTTTTCAAAACTCGCTGTCGCAACAACAAATGCCGCCAAAAACACAAACCCGCAAAAAAAAAAACGTGGGTTTGGGGCTCGGGGGGGGGGGGGGGAACTCGAAAACTTGGAGACCCGGGAGTCCACCCCCCCCCCCGCCCGCTCCACGGCCGCTCGGCAAATGCTTGGTTGACGTTGGAAGGGGAGCAAAGCTTTAAAAGTTTAGCAGTTACGTGGTTGGATTTCCACCACTTTTACCACAAAAAGCAAACAAATGTAATATGTGTCCCAACAAAAATGTAAAACCGTAAAATGTAAAATAAAAGCAAAAATACGTTTCCCTTAAATCAGCAACAAATGGCTTTAGTGCTTCCAAACCAGCCCCACCCCCCCACCCCCACCCCAGCCCGCCACCCTCTCCGGCGGCATTTGGCGCGCCACAAGCAAAAATGTTTCCCTTACATGAAAAAACAAAACGTCTCCCAACAACAACCACCACAAAAACCACCACAACAACCACCACAACAACCACCACACCACAACAACCACCAACTACCACAACCACCAACCACTTTTACCACTTACAGAAACAAACTTCACCACTTCAAAAATGAAAAAAAAAAAAACGTCTCCCCACCACAAGCCGTGAACTCCGCCTGCGCCATGTGCAGCACCGCGGAGTTGTGCGCCGTGGTGGCCGCCACCGCCGCCGCCTGGTGCTCCTTGGCCGAGCTCAGGTGGTCCAGCACGCCTGGCGCACGGATCCGACAAGGACTGCACAGGCCGAAACCAAACCGAAAAAAACTCGATAATTTTATGAGACCCAAAAAAAAATGAAGTATGATTGATGCCGAAACAAAACCGGTTCAAAAAAGAAAACCTGAAAAACCTCGCGAAATCTATGGAGAAAAAAAGCTTGCAGACCCCAACCCCCCCCCCCCCCCTCCGCCCTCTTTCTACCTTGGCGTCTGCAATCTTTCTTTTTGTTTATTTGCTGTTGGTTTTCTGGATGTCTCGAGTTGTCTTGGGTTTCCTCACTGCTTTACTTGCATCTGAAGCATTCTGAAGACAATGCGACTTATTTGCGCAGTTTTGCTCTAGCAAATCGCACTCCCCTATACTCTGAGTAAATTGTGTTTAAATGTGTACTGTTTTGTAAAGACAATTCTATTGGAAAGGAAACCCAGTGTAACATTCAATTTGGCAATAGAATAATCATTATTTACATTCTAATATAGAATAACAATGCTGATGGTAGTCCTTATTGAATTCTATTTCATTTTAGTTTGACATTGAGTAGAACATAATAAAACACTAAGTAGAAATCATAAAGACAGAATTCAGAGGTCCTAAAACCGTATGTTTTTCAATCTGGCCCCGGCACTACCATGGTCACAAAACACTGCAAAACAGAGCGTGCTGTGGCGTTGTGAGTACTCATGTTGGATCTCCGCCAACGGAGATGATATATTCAATTTGAGTTTGAATAGGATATAATTGGGACTCAAATAAAGAAATACTTGATCAGAATGCTACTGGAAATTATGGCTTGAATGTAGAATTTAGATAGAAATCCTTTCCCAATAGAACTTTAACAATTCAGCTAGAGTTTAAACAGAGATTGATGAGGAAACAATCCAACCATAATGTCCATGTTGTATTAGAATTTAGACTTGACTTTGTGCTATTTCAAATCAGAACTTACACAGGATATTATGTGCAATCAGAGTCCTTTACACATCAGTTTAACATGTAAATTGAATTCATTTAAGCATAGGTCGACTGGAACTTCCACTCAAACTGTGAAAAAAGCATACCCTCAAAGACTCTTCTTGAATATGTACGTCTATGTGAAAAATACTTCAGAAACCTTGAAATGTACAAAAAAGCGCAGTCCCACAGCGTCCTGCTCTCTAGAATAACATGTCCCTTCTACCAAATATGTCCCATTGGCAAGGAAAATATCGCCGCTTCCGCAACTACAGTAGGTACTGCAAGGACCCTGGCGAAGTGATTCAATACGGAAAACCCATTAGTTGGCAAAAAGTTGTTCAGTCTCAACATCCCTGGGCAAAATGCACCAAAGTTGAGATCAACTCATTGGATCTGGCACAGCTCCGAGCCCTACCACGGCCGGGGCCTTTGAAGTGCTCGGTGTCGGTTTCCACCTGCAGAAAGAAACGCCCCCGGCTCATGGTGTCCACCAGGGGTACCTTCCCCATTCGTTCCGGGGATCCTTCTTTCTAGAAAACCTCCGGAAACCCCGGGAAAACGGCCGGTTTGTTGAAAGAACGATGGTTGAAAAGAATGGGGAATCAACCCCTAGAGACACACGTTTCAGGGTTAAGGGTTAGGGGGACTGAACCTGACTCTTTCGGGCTCCCTTTTTTTGGCGGGCCAAAACTCTTCCCACCAGTTCTTGGCATTGGCAGGGAAGCTAAACATCGAGGGCCCCTGCATGAGTACGGAAACGCTCGGAAGGGGAAGCGAAGGAGACTCAAAAGTGCAGAATGGCCAAAAGTTTGCTGAGTCCGACAAGGAGAGCTGGTACCGTTTCTTTCTTTCTCTGGTTGCTGCAAAGAGAAACCAAAGACAAATCACCGATATCTTCGGGGTTCACAAAAATAAGAAAAGGGAAGCCAACGAATTTCTCAAGGCCGACCATGTTTGGTTCAGTAAAAGTCACAGCGATGATTTCCTCAGGGGCATGAACTTGAGTTCACAATCGCAGGTAGCTGTTTTTCCTTTTTGTAGGTAACTTGAGTTGAGTTCACAACTGTAGGTTAGACTTTCTGTTAGACTGAGTTAGACTTACAATTGTTACCTCTGTGAGTTAGACAAGTTACCTCTTACTTACCTCGGTTGCTTTCTGCTCCCCTGCTAAAAGCTTTTAACCTTTAGCGATTGAGTACGGAAAACCCACTAGGTTGGCAAAAAGTTGTTCAGTCCTAACATCCTTGGCAAAATGCACCAAACTTACAAGGTCGTAGGCATAGGTGTCCTTTTGGGAAAATAGACTGCCCTGGTAAATGGAATAAACCCCATCCAAACCAGTGCCTTCTATTTTTGACCACACGAACCTAAAAAGGACACCCATGGTCGTAGCCATCTCTGAGCTCGAAACTTTCGGTTTCCAAAAACCGAGCCAGCGCCCGCCCCCTTTGGGGACCGCTGGCCTCGCGGAGGTACTGCTTCACCGCCTCCGGGTTCCCAGTGGCGGCCAGGCGCGCCACCTCGGGCTGGGGGGACCCGAGTTTATGGGGGGAAGGCCACGAGTGAAACCAACCCTACAGGACATGTTCCAAAAAAAAGGATTTTTTTGGGGGGGGAGTTGGAAATCCCATTTGGTGGAAAGTCCTGAAAGGTTCTATGACCTTTGGGTTGGTGCAGGGTTGGTTGAAAGGTCGGTTTAGGGTGGCCAAGTTGGTTTACTTTTTAAGCACCTCGACAGCCCGCTTTGAAGGGAAGCCAAGAGGATGTGTAAACAAGGGTTTCAAGCGGTTGGCGGGTTAGGGGTTTGGTGTGTGTGTGTGTGTGTGTCGGGATGGTGCGGGGATGATGTGGGATGGGGAGGGGTCTTGTCAGCATGATGCATTATAATGTTGAGGCTGGCCAAATATGAAACAGAGGCATCCGTCCCACTAATTGACATAGCACCTTCGGGAGGGGGGCCCGGAAGATCAAAACCCTCTTGAAGGGACAAACACCAACCCAATAGCCACCCCCTTCTGGGCAACCCAAATTGCCACATTCAAATACACATAATGTGCGTGCATGTATATACATATATGTATGAGCAATACATCTACATATATATATATATATAAACCATATAGCCAAACATACATATATACAACACTTATCTCTAACCAATCCCCACCCCCACCCCCGGGCCCAGCCCCTGGCCTCCTGCGCCACCTCCGGCGTCACCGCCGCCGGGGGCGCCGCCTTCACCGCCTCCGCGGCCGCCTGGGCCGCCTTCAGCGCCACGGAGCGCTGGGCCCGGGCCGCGGCGGCGGCCCCGGGCGGCGGCGGGGTGGGCAGCTCGGGGCAGAGGCCCTTCTGCGGGGCCTCAGGTGTTTGGAGGTTTTTGGTGAAGAGGTGGAGGTTTTGGAATTGGCGCTCCACGAGTTCCAGGAGTTCCGTGTGGCTCTTTGGAGCTCAGGGACGTGGGTAAGGCCGGCAAAAACCCGCTCCAAGACCCATCGGGTCTACTTTTAATTCGGGGTCTTGGCTGTTTTCCGCGGAAGTGGGTTTTAAAAATGCTGTATCCCACAGCATGTTGCACTGTCAACATCCCCGGCACCGTTTTCGACATCCCCAGCATCAGTTTCGACGTCTTCAGGATCACAAGTTGGCGGGGTTCAACGGTTGGCTTCGGGTTGGTTCAGGGCGGGTTCTGGGGGGCTGCGCTTTGGGTACTGGGATGGTTTAGTGCTGGCTTATGGTGGGCTTGTCAGGATAGTTTTGGGTGGGCTTAGGGTGGTTTGTGATTGGAAGCTTACGGTGGCTTAGGGAAGCCTGGAGCAAAACAACAAATGACGGCTTTGCTTTTCGTTCCCCTTTCTGTTGTTTTAGGAGGCTGTAACAATCGTTACAATTGGGAGAACCGGGGGTTGCCCCCTTATAGCATCGCTGTAACCTATATACTTGAGTGGGTGCAACATTCAGCAAATGCATCTGGAACACTGGCGCGTTCCCTTCGCATCCCTTTAGAAAGCCTCCCCGAAAGGGTACACCTCTCCGATGCAACCAGGCAGCGACATAGCAGTCATCCTCCTGAGACAGCACCTGGCAGGTCACGCCGCAAAAATGCCCTCGAGAAAGTCACAAATACCCCAAGTACACACAGGGAACCTGATACAAAGATGGAACCTGAAAGGGACTACCAGCTTCCTTCGAACATCCTCCTCTTTCAGGTTCCCCTGTGAAAACTTTGTCACTTTAAAGATGTCCTTGGCAGAACATTGCCCACAGAGCTTCCACAACCATGCCCTTCTTGCGTTGCTTTCCCAGACAAGTTGATCATGCCGGTTCTCATGAACCCGTCGCGGCAATTCGCGAGGAGCGGCTAAGCCATTGAAATGGAGGGGAACCCCGCGGGAAAAAAGTCGCGTTGGGAACCCCCCCTTTGGTTGAAATCGATCCATGGGCCACAAACTGTTTAAGTGTTCCTGAGAAGGACAACCCGACCACCTGAGCTTTGCCCCACCCAAACGGATATGTGGACATCATTCAGGTGGGGATTTATGTCCACCAACCACTTAGATGGTTCAACCCCCAAAAAACAACATCGCCAAATCGAGAAAACCCCCATGGGCGTTGCTGGCAAGTTCACCTCTTCTCAGAGACCCGGCGGCAAATGTTTGCCCGGCGTCGCGAACATGCGCCTCATTGCATGGCACCCCTCCGAAGCGCTCGTGTTCTCGCAGCCTGGCAGTCCCAGTTGGCTCGTCTTTGGCTCGGTGTCCGAGACATTCGGAGGGAAACCGAAAAGGAAACCAAAGCGAAGCCCCATCTTTACACCGGAATCCCCTGCTTCAAGACACCACTGTTTGCTGGACTTCCCGCTTGGGTGGACAAGTTCCAAGAAACTCTCTTTGGGCGACCAAACATGTGCATCTGCCAGAACTTGGAGACGCAAGTCAATGATACGTAGGGTTTCTCATGTGCCGGGACGCCCATCCTCAAATGGTTGCATCCCTCAGTCACGGGAAGCAGCAAATCAATCACATTTGGACCGCCGAAAGGCTTCGGAAAAAGGGGGCTCCCCGAAAAAGTGTAGCCTTTAGGGGAATTGTTCTCTGAATCGATTGCCCCTGACTGAGGACTCATGTGCCCATGTTTCGGAACCCATGCTACAATCCATACAGATCCACCCCCCCCCCCGGATTGGCACGTTAAGGAGAAGGAGAAGCACGGCCAGTTTCTGACTCTGATACACTCCGGGTGGGTCAAAAATAGGTACCCAAAATGAAACCTTAAATGGACCATGGACGATTTAACCTGCGGTCCATGTCCTGGCTTAATTTTGACCCACACCCAAATATGTTTTATTCCATTTACCAGGGCCAATTTACTCTTCCCAAACGCCACCTATGTTTTCACACTTTCCAAAAGCTGCAGATCAACCGCCGGATGCGAAAACCCTTCGACCCTTCGAACCCGCCAGCCGCCAGCCAGCCGAGACAGGCGGACCCTCCTCTCTGGGCCTGGTGCGCACCCGCAGGCCGGAGCCGCAGGAGGTGGAACAGGAGCTCCAGAGCCTGGCGGCACGGAGCCGCGACAAGCCGGAACAGGGAGACCCTCCGCAGGGTAGGCGTTAGGTCATATGAGGGGATGATGATGATGATGATGATGATGATGATGATGATGATGATGATGATGAGGAGGAGGAGGAGGAGGATAATCCCACAGAAGGAGCTGAAAAATGGAGAGCTAAAACATGTTGCCGCGTAGATGATCCCGCAGAGGAAAACAGCGGGGATAAGAGATGCTGTCCCAGTTCTAAGCGTGGCATCACATGCTTAAGAGGGTGGAACATGCAAGCGATTGGTTTGTTTGTTTTTGCGGAACACTGAATTTTGGCAGAACCCTGCAGCCAACTTTGAAAGGGGGGCCCTGTGAGGAAGGCTCCAGATTGGATCCCGGGATTTCCAAGGATCCTGGTTGATTGAGACAGGGAAAGCCATACTCACAAGCGATTTGGATCAGGTTCACCATTGTTGCCGGATTTCCTTTAAGATTCAATCGTACAAAGGATCTGCGGGTTCTCTGTGACTGCAATTGGGCTTCAGATGGCGCCATCAATAGGAAAAGCGTAGATAGCCAAGTTTCGATTTGCTCCAATTCAAGTTACCCCCAACGCAGACCAAAAGTACAACTGGCAAACGCCAGGAATAACTGTTTTGATGTCCAGAGACACGTGCGTTTTGAGGTGCTTGGCTCAACCAACCTTGCATGCCATACATGACATGTGCAACTATACTGGCATAGACACAAGGCAGAATTCATACACTAGATACTGAATCCCCCTTCCAAAGGCGGAAGGCTTCCAAAAGGGCCGAAGCTGCGCCAAGACGCGTTTGTTGGGAGGGTATTCCCATCTGTGCAACTGGCAAAACTATTGGTAGATTCTTAGTTTGGGGGGGGGGGGGCTTGGACCAATCATTTGTTACGGACAAAAATTGGTTGGATGTGGCTGGTTCGCGTGCTTCATATTTGGAAATTGGGAACCTTTGCCGGACGGTTTACAGAGAGAGCAGCTACCTGCACAGGTACCAAATTTTGAGAACGCTGATTTGAAGCAGGCATTATCGCCACAGATCATTTGAGCAGTGCCTTGGTGCAAACTGTGTGGTTTTTGTTTGCATCCTTGCGAAGGTCCCCAAAGTCCGAGCCAAGACTCCTTGTCAGCAGCTGATTGCATAATGCTGGGATTAACACGAAAAAACCTCTAAAAAATAAACTCAGGTGATATCCCCAACAGCATGCGGTGCTCGTTTTAGTGCTTGCACCACCCCGCAGCCCTCGAGAATCTCGTGGAACCCTTGGAACCCTGGTGGAACCCTGGTGGAACTCTGGTGGAACCGTGGTGGAACCCTGGTGGCACTGGTGGAACATTGGTGGAACCCTTGTGGAACCTTACCTCAGGGCCGCCCCGGACCAGCCCGGAGCCTATCTGGGCTGAGACCCCAAAGCTTTCAGCTGTTGGGAAAAAAGAAGAAGAAGAAAAACGCTAGAATAGATACCCTCCCAGCCACTAACATGGAACTTGACTGAGTCCTGGAAGACCATCTTCCTTTTGTTTTGGACCCTCTGGTGGATTCCATATTAGTGGACCAGAGGGCATCATTCCCTTAGGGGAGTCTCCACTCAGTCCGGTCCTCGGATCGAAGTTAACGTGAATGGGAGCGCGGGATTGATAGACACCTGCGTGATTGATAGGGGGGCCTTCGGTTTTGATGGACATGCCTATGAATCCACCAGTTTGATTCATCTGGAGTTAACTGTACTGTATGTCCACATGCCACCACGTGGCCATATTGGCGTTTTGAGGCCTACTTAAGCAATTAAGCCAAACTAGACAGTTTATTGCAAGAAGATGTTACATGGGTTCATGCATCCAGACTATGCGATTGATACCGATCCATATCCAAGAGAAACAGATCCTTCCGACGAACATACCAGGTGTGTGAAGGTGACTCGACGGAGCCGCAAACAGGGTTCACATGTACCTCAAAACATGTGGAGAGCCAACAGTGAGATCTACATGCGCTGGTTTGAGCGCCGCTTGGCCTCGAGTCAACCTCCAGTTTTGCTTTGCACGGGAATACCGAGAGGAAGCCTACACCTGTTCCTCACGCGCATGCGCTTTCGGATTCCACCTCCCACCCGTTCTTCTAGCTGCTGGTCCTTAGTGATTGCTCGGGCGGATGCTTCTTTCAGGCGTAGATCCACAGATCCGCCAGCCCGTTTCCCAGGCTTGCCGGCAACCGTGACCAGCCGCCTCCAGTCGCCCAGCAGGCAGTCCACGGGGCAAGGGCCCTCAGAGTAGTGGGTGCGGACCCCAAATAATATGGGTGTGATTCAAAAAAAGGGTAACCCCAAAATGGATCCCTGGTAAATGGAAACATGGACGATTTAACCTGCGGTCCAATTCCTGGTTTAATTTTGACCCATACCCATTTCCCATCCAGTTTAAAAAGGCATGTGCGCTTGGGCGGCCTGTGAAGGCTCTCAACGGAAGTATTAGGCCGTCTTTTCGGGGCCCTCTGACCGAAGCATACCTACCCACGAGATCCCTACATTCCGCGAACGAACGGAAACACAGTGTGAACTGGCCAAAGAGGTGGCGCGTCAAACCAAGGGAAATGCCGGAAACCTGAAAGTACGCCTAGCCCTTCTAAAAGCTTTCCTAGCCCCCAATGTGTCCAGAAAGTCGGTCGCCCGGTTTCTTTTGAGACCTCCACATCAAGGTTGGGCCAACTGAGCGCACCGTTTCACCCCGATTTGAGACCTCCACGTTTCACCGAGATGGCTATTGGTTCTACCAGGATGGTTGTAAAGGTTTATGTGAGTCGCAATCAAGACCCGGTACATGGTCAAGTCAGGTACCAAAATGGCCAAGAGGGTGGCCTTGAAGGCGCTCTGCTCTGCTTTGTCATGTTCAATCAGCTGCTGAAAGTGTCTTTTGTTTGCCCTCCATATAAACAGGTCTTCCAAAAGACAAAGTGTTCTAACCCCGGGTAAGAGTTGGATTCCAGCTTTGCGCCACGATTGCTGACAGTTTTCGCAGATCGAAAGCCACGGCACAGGAGCCATTCAGCTTTGGAAAGCAGGCTCAAACATTCCTCTCAGCATCATGCGGGGTTGCCTTTTGAATAGTGTCTTGAAGTTGGGTGAAATCCGCGAATGCTGACAATCATTTGTTTTTTTGCCGTCTCGTTTCCCAAATCCATCCGTCCATTTCTCCGGCACCAAACCGGAAAGCAAACAACACAATACTACCGTGGTGCTTGACCGCACAAATCACCACACACCAAGGCCTCTCAAATAGAACCATTGGCCTGAGTGTTTTGTTTGAGCATCGTTCGGAAGGCTTTCCACACCCACAATGATATACGAACCAAACCAGCACAAGCCACTGCAAAAATCACCAGGTTTTACTTCGCAAATCACCACTGATCCAAACCTTCGCCGTCAGTTGCCGAGCGCCCCGCGGGTGCGCACTCCAGGGTCTCCGTGAGGTTTCCAGGACCTCACAGCGACCCCCCGTTGGCCAATGAGTCTATCAGTATCTAAGTCAGCGGTCGTAGAATAAAGGGAACCTTCCATTTGCTTAAGAATATGTTTCCCCTGTTGATGATAAAGGGAACCTATCACTACTGGAAAGTTGTCTATTTTTTCCAGGGGACTTAAGCAAACGGAGGGAAACCACCCCATTCAATCCCTACTCGCTCACTTTGACCAGGAGCCGTCAAAAGAACCACCGCAGAAAGCGGCGGACGCAAGTTGCGTGCCAGGTCACATGCCACTCCGCCGTAGGCCTCGGTTCAAAAGAAACAAAAGCATCAGATCCGCGACTCCTTACAGCGGAAACCCGGAAAGGAACCCAAAAAACCAAAAGGAACCCAGCAAAACAAAGAACCCCCAAATCTAAAAGGAAGTGTGGAGGGTCAAGGCCTGAGCCACTGGGTGGCATCCCAAACACTAGCACAAGTCATTTCTCTGATTCTTGTCCAGCAAGTAGACTCATCTCAAAAGGATCCAGCCGTCCATTTTCTGAAGGTGCAAAATCCATCCCAATACTTCAGAATGGGTTTGCCGGCCCCGAAGTCATCCATTTCGGGAAGAGCCATATCCCACAAGACAAACACATAGTCGGAGACTTAAAGTCCGCTCTGAGTCTCCAATTTGTCAGAACACCCGGTGTGATTCAAAACAAACGGAATCAATCCTTGCACTTCCCACCATAAAACCACCTGAAACTGCAGGATGATGCCAAAAGATCCTTAGTTAAGAGCATGGTTACAAACTTACTTCCGTGACATTGGTTGAACATGCAAGCAGGTGATGTCAATCAACACCAAAGGGGCAAATCTCATTGGAGACACGACAGTCCCCCCCCCCCGGCCCCCTCCAGTCCGCCCCCAAAACAGCCGGCAAAAACGGCGGAAGCTTCAAAAAAAATAGCGCTATAGTTAACCCCCTGTCTCTTTGTTTTTTTCTGTCAAATGTTCTTCTTTCTCCTTGAAATATGTCTTTCTATATTTCTTTCTTTCTTTCTTTCTTTCTTTCTTTCTTTCTTTCTTTCTTTCTTTCTTTCTTTCTTTCTTTCTTTCTTTCTTTCTTTCTTTCTTTCTTTCTTTCTTTCTTTCTTTCTTTCTTTCTTTCATTATTTCTTGCGTTCGTTCTTTCTTGCTTGCTTGCATGCCTGCTTGCTTTCTGTCTTTCTTTCCTTCTTGCTTGCTCGCTTCGCTTCGCTTCGCTTCTCTTCGCCTTCTTTTCTCTTTTTCCTTTTCTTTTCTGTTCTTTTATATATGTCTTTATTTCTTTCTTTCTTTTCTTTCTTTCTTTCTTTCTTTATTTATTTCTGTCCTTCTTTTCTTTTCTTTCCTTCTATATTCCTTTCATTTGTTCTTTCATTCTTTCTTTATTCCTTTCTTTCCTTCTTTCTTTCATTTTGTCTTTCTTCATGTTTTTCCTTTTCTTCTTTTATTTTCTTTCTTTCTTTCGATATTTCTTTCTTTATTTCTTTCTTTCTTTCTTTCTTTACTTCTTTTCTTTTCTTTCTTTCTTTATGTATGTCCTTCTCTTCTTTTCTTTTCTTTCTTTCCTTCTGTATTCCTTTCCTTTTTTCTTTGTTTCTTTCCTTCTTTTCTTTCCTTCTTTTCTTTTCTTTTCTTTTCTTTTCTTCCTTCCTTCCTTCCTTTCTTTCTTTCTTTCTTTTCTTTTCATTTCTTTTCTTTCTTCCTTCCTTCCTTTCTTTCTAAATTACCAATTGCGAAAATGCCACCTACAGATCCTTTTCCTTTTCTCAGAATTGTGTGGGTGCCAAGATTGCATTCCCCACCCAAAGGGGCCCTCCAGGCCCCTCCAAAAGCCTCAAACGAAATGGCACCGGTGTGCCTGGCTGTTTTACGCCAAAATGGCAGCCCATTTTGACTCATGCTGTTAATTTATAAAATGGCACCGCTACGCTCTTCCATTAGAAACTTCTTTCCTTCTTTTCTTCATTTTCTTTCGGTCTTTCTCTCTCTCTCTCTCTGTCTCTCTCTCTCTCTCTCTGCTTTTTCTTTGCTCCTGTCTATCTGTCTAGCAATGCACCAATCTCTCAATCCAACCTCCCACTATCCAACTATCTAGCTCTCTACCTTTCAGCTATGCGTGTATTCATGCGATTCATCTATCTATCTCTGTTTACATATCTATCTATCTATCTATCTATCTATCTATCTATCTATGAATCTATCTATCTAGCTGGCCTCTCTCTCTCTCTCTCTCTCTCTCTCTTTTATCTAGCTGCCTATGGCCCTGCAAAAGCGCTGCTGCCACGTAGAGCACAGCGCCCGCCAAGAAATCTGCACCTGACCTTGCAAAAGCGCTTGCGCCCGCCACGCAAGCTAAGGTTGCGAGAAGCGCTTGGCGTCCGCGCCGACGGGCCTGCTCCGAACGCCTGCTCCGAACGCCTGCTTGGAGCCTGCTCCCGACCAAGCGTCGCGATCTGTGGCTAACTTTCAAGCATCCCAAGGCACCGACACCCGCGGAAGTTTGCACTTGTTCCACCTTTCTGCCACCACAAACACGCGCCGCTTCTTTCCCGCGCGCGAAATGGCTTCCGCATGCTGACTTTTGTCTTGTCATCTGTCTCAGAAAGCTAGCTTTCAACTCGTTGCCACACCACGGAAGTTCCTTCTAAACATCCACAACATAGCCACAGTATAAAGGGCACATGCCAATCTTCCTCCAGCTTCGCTTTGGGGGTACCTGCGGCGGAAACCATCAAATTGCTTCTTTGAGGGCAAGTGGCCGCCTCAACCGACTCGATGCGGAACCTGCAAGCAGAGGCGGTTGGGAGCGCGGAGCCTTACAGCAGGCTGTTTGTTCAGGTCAGCTGTGGGTCACCTGACCGTTGTCGACATCCATTTGCAGCAGGTTGGTTGTTGGTTATGACCCACTTACGGTAAGTCATGCAGCAAGCAGCTTTCAATATGGTTAAGTGCAAGACTTACTGCAGGGGCAAATCTTGGGGAATTTTATAGAAGCCAAGTACTAACTCGGCTCAACGGACACCAAGCATGCTCATTTGGGTGTGGTGGAGGCCGGGTAAAGCAAGCATTTCCTTGAGGCCTTTTGGGTCAGCTTTGAACTCCCCCGCGCGCATGGTGCAAATTGAGCATGTCCAATCTCGGTACCCTCCGTCCACAAGCATGGCAGCCCCTAGATAAAGTACTTCAATTGGAAGGGTCAAGCTTGGGACCTTACTCTCCCGCAAATTAACCAAAAAAACACCCAGCTGTTTAGGACACTCCCTCTGGGCCCTTCTTTGCATGCCCTACGATCGTTTGGATACTTTTTGTGTGGGCCCATTCGCTCCGGATCGATCCGTGGGCTCCCCTTGGGTTTTCCAGCGAACCAACTTGCAATGGTTGCAAGCTGCGGCTGGAATTGTACTTTAGGCCACGAAACTCAAAAAGCCAATGCAGCCAATCTTCCTCCAAGCCTAACGAGAAATACGGCTATGACTGATGCCCACCAAACGGTCCCCGTCGAAATTCATACCAACATCTGCTCCGCAGGGGATGTTCAACCCACATAGTACTAGCTTAGAACCATCGTTATAACTCGAGGTGACCAGGGCAAGTTCCGACACAACCATGTTGCGATCGCCTTTCCTGTTGCGTGAAAGGACAATCCAAGCGAGCTAAAATGAAGAATGAAGTGTGCTAAGGGATAGTCCCAGCCAGAAACAGATGCTCCCCCCTTGTGATTCCTTACATGTTGGGTAGACCCCCTTCAGTACTAGGCTTTCATTGTGGCTCAAGTGAGTACGTCTCAAAATTGGGGAACACCAATCATGGTGTCCTTTCGCTGTCCTTTTCAAGCAATCTTTGCAAATGTACCCTCAATACTTCCCTAAGCCGGTTTAAGCATCACTTTGTTCTAGGGGTTGGTTCCCCATTCTTTTCAAGCATCGTTGTTTTTCAAAAACCGGCCTGGGTTGTTGGATGGCTTCCTGAAAAGATTCGGATCCCTGGAAAGAATGGAAATGGAAGGTATTGCTGGACGATTGTGTTTTACATGTTAAGGCTTTGTGGTTTAGCAAACTTGGGATAAGCTTTTGTTGGTTCGTTTGAACTTGTTCCAACCTCTCAGATGGGGTTAGATGTGGGTTTCCTCTTGGCGCAGTGGATGCTAGAAGACGAAACGCCAGCTCCGGCGCTCCGGCGGTGCCTCTATAGGTTGCCTTTTGGAAAAAACCAGATGGCCCTGGTAAATGGAATCAACCCCATCTACACCAGGGCCCTCTATTTTTAAAGCAAACCAGCTTAAAAGGACACCTATGCGCGCCTCATGATGACGCCCCCGTCGCAGGTGGCGGAGCACCCGGACCATGGCGACCAATCGGTGACCACGCAGTCCACCGGGCCTCGAGTCCCGTGGCCAACTTGGCAACCACCAAGGGCTACCTTTGTTTGGGGTTAAACTGCCTATCTTAAAACGGTACCATTGGTTTTGACCCATGGCCAAATGAAACCAGGAAACGGCCACTCTTCTTATGTCTTGTTGTTTTGTTTTGTTGGGCGGGAGGAGTCCCCTGTTGGGACACTCATTTGCAGGGGTGCTCAATCTCTTTCATCTCTGGTCTACCCCATATAAAAGAGTGATAATGGAGGCCACAAAGGAGTTCTGAACTAACCCTCTCCCCTCGGCCAAAAAAACGAGCCTGGAAACCTGACAGGAGTCTCAGCCATGAACACTTTTCCTAGACCCGAGATCCTGTTGCGAATCTTGGCCCACAAAACAATTCGGGTTGTGAGGCTCGGTGTTCTCGTCCGTTGAGTGCATCTCATTATGTCATCCTGGTATCCGTCATCCTGGCTGGAAGGCGCGGCTGAGCTCTGGGGCAGCCTGTCCATTGTTCTTGATGAACCGGTCAAACGCCTTCCACTCCTTCATGTGGGTGCTGCAGTTGCACAGCTGCACTCGCGGGGCTGGCAATGCAAGTTCGCAGCCCGTGTCATCACCGGAGCCTTCTTCCTTTGCCGCCCGGCGCCGGCGGCGTAGCAACGAGATTCATCCAGCTTGCCTGTGAGCATCTGAGCAGATCCTCCAACTGCGCAGAATCTGGAGGCTTGGGATCAAAGCCATCTCGGATCTTCAACCTGTCTGACTAAGTGAGTTGTGGTCACGGTTGTAACTGGGGTGTGTAACTGGGGTCAGTCCCCGCATATCCATGGTGATAGCCTACTTCTTAAGTGGATTGAGCGTCCAAGCTGGGATGAGTTAAAACGGGTGTACTGCGCTTGAACACATTGTGCAGTTAGATATATCGATTGTATTCTATTGTTCAGCTCATGAAAATTCATGTCGCAGGCGTCCATCTGCAAATTCTACAATCATTCCAAACCTAGGGATCCCCAAAGGACCTACAGCATAGCTTATGCTACCAGGTGGAATCGCTCGCCATCAAAAAAGGCGGGCTGAACATATCTATTCGATCCCCTTTTGACGGGCGAGCCCCCGGATCTGTCAAGGGATCCCTACTCGGTTGCTTTCTGCTCCCCTCCTAAGAGTTTATTGGTTTAATGGAAAACCCATTAATTGGCAAAATGTTAAAATCCTAGCATCCAAGCAAAATGCACCAAAACCTATATGTCCCCACAACACATCGCACCTGCAGGAAGCTCAACCCAAACGCCAAAAGGTGATGTTCAAAAGCACCCAAACGGGAAATCGGAGTATGTCTTGAAACAGGAGACCTCCAAACAAAAGGTCTCCCCTCGGCTTCCCTTCCACCCCCAAGAAGGGTTCCCCCGAATCGGTGATTTTCATTTGGTTCCCTATGCCTCCCCTCAAAACAAAAAGGTGCCCCCGACAAAGCATGCAGATACATGGGTGTGTCCTGTTTTTCGGCCAGCCCCCCCCCCACAACCAAAAAAATACACCGGTTTCAATGTGGTCCCCCTTTAAAACCCAACCAAACGGAGGGTCCCCGTCGCAAAAAAAACAAACTAAACAAACAAACTAAACAAACTGAACAAACAACTTTAACAAAGTAAACAGACAAACAAACTAACTAAACAATCTAAAAAAAAGACTAGACAAACTAAGCAAACAAACAATCCAAACAAACAAACAAACAAACAAACAAACAAACAAGGAAACAGCTGAACAAACTAAACTCACAAACTAAACAACAAACTAAACAAACTAAACAAACAAAATAAACAGACAAAAACTAAACAAACCAAACTAAACAAACGAATAAACTAAACATACTTAACAAACAAAGAAACGCGGCAACGTAAACAATCAATCAAAAGTAAACAATCAAACAAACAATCGAAACAAACTAAACAAACTAAACAAACAAACAAACAAACAAACTGACAAACTAAACAAACAAGCAAAATATACAAACAAACTAAACAAACTAAACAAACTAAACAAACTAAACAAACTAAACAAACTAAACAAACTAAACAAACTAAACAAACTAAACAAACTAAACAAACTAAACAAACAAACTAACTCAACAATCTAAACAAACTAAGCAAACTAAGCAAACACACAAACTAAGAAACAAACTAAACAAAGCAAACAATCAAAACAAACAAAACAAACTAAACAAACAAACTGAAAAAAGTAAACAAACAAGCAAACTAAACAAACAAACCAAACAAACTGAAAAAAGTAAACAAACAAGCAAACTAAACAAACAAACCAACTTTACAATCTAAACAAACTAAGCAAACTAAGCAAACAAGCAAACTAAGAAGCAAACTAAACAGACTAAACAAACTAAACATACTAAACAAACTAAACATACTAAACAAACTAAACATACTAAACAAACTAAACAATCTAAGCAAATTAAACAAACAAACAAACAAACAAACAAACAAGGAAACAACTGAACAAACTAAACCAACATACTAAACAAAGTCAACAAAGTAAACAGACAAACTAAACAAACTAAACAAACTAAACAAACTAGTCAAACTAAAAAAAAACTAAACAAACTAACAGACTAAACAAACTACAAAACTAACTAAACAAACTAAACAAACTACGCAAACAAAAATTGTAGACACACAAACAAAACAAAGCGAGCAAACAGTTAAACTAACTAAACAAACTAAACAACCTACACAAACTATGCAAACAAACAAACAAACAAACACACAAACCAACTAAGCTCAACTCAACTCAACTCAACTCAACTCAACTCAACTCAACTCAACTCAACAAACGAACAAACAAACAAACAAACAAACAAACACACAAACCAACTAAGCTCAACTCAACTCAACTCAACTCAACTCAACTCAACTCAACTCAACTCAACTCAACTCAACTCAACTCAACTCAACAAACAAACAAACAAACAAACAAACAAGCAAGCAAACAAACAAACAAACAAACAAACAAACGCACTAAACAAACTAAACAAACAAACACACCCACCCACACAGACACAGACACACACACACACACACTATGTGCCTGAGCCTCGTTGCTGGGCTTCCCGGCACTGCACGCTGCCGCACACCGCCTGCTGGGAGGACTCCCCGTGGCAGTCCAGGCCACCGTCGTGGCCCGGCTCCAAGATGTCGCCTGCATTTCGCTGGGAAGATGTGGACCCAAGGAATGCCAAAGATCAGCGGGTTTGGCTGCCGGAAAATCTACAGGAAATGGCCCCAAAACAACATAAATCAGCTGTTTTCCTGTAGAATGTTCTGTAACCCAACCCTTTGAAAGAACTTGAATACTGAAAATGGCTGATAGAAGTTCGATATTCGGATAGAATGTTGAATGCCACTTATTCATTATACCAAACTTTTGCGACCAATAACTTGCTGGAGCGACAGCTAGGAAATGACAACGAGTCCGGGTGCTGTTGGGCTCAAAAAGGGCTCAATAAGGGCTCCCTCTCCCCCCTCCCTCCCTCCCCCCCGCCCAGCCCCCATGACAGCACAAGTATTGAAATCGTTTCTTGACTCTTGCCTAAACACAAGTGGGCATGTCGTTTTTAAGGAGACCACTCAGAATGGTGGCTTTCCTTTTGATTTCCGTTTTCCACACAACAAGGGGGACCCTCAAAAAAAGACAGACCCAAGTATTGAAATCGAGCACCAAGCTTTGCAACCGACTCCACGGGTTCTGCCGGCTTGGCAGCTGCTCAGCGTCGTTGAGGCACCAAGCGGAAGCTTTTTGGTGATGCGACTAGGAAATGACAACGAGTCCGGGTGCTGTTGGAACGAACCGGTTTTGGGGATGAAAGGAAACCAGAGGGGCCCTAGGGGATGCTCATAGGGGTCATTCCAATTCTCATCTCATTCCCTGCGCAACAAGTCTGGGTGTCCCCTAGGAAGCCGACGAGTCAAAGGCGGGGAGTTGAACCCGCATTGCAGCTCTTGGCGTAATCCTTGGGTGGTTAATATGATGGGGCGATAAAAACCCATTGACGTTGGTAAGGTGGAGAAGGTTTATATGGGTTCTCAAAGTAGGTTTGTGAAAACAAAAAGCGTGGGCTCCTTTTGGTTTCCCCTTTGAGCAACTCCCATGCTGAAGCCGAGGAAACGAACCTATACCCAAATGGAAAACCGAGTACCAATCCCCCCCCCCAAAAAAAAAAAAAAAACACACACACACACTCACACACACACAAACAAACAAACAAACAAACAACAAAAAGAAGACGCGCACACAAACAAACAACCTCCCCCCCAAAAAAAAAAAAAAAAAAAAAGAAGAAAGAGAACACACACACACACAGCAAGCAAACAAGCAAGCAAGCAAGCAAGCAAGCAAGCAAGCAAGCAAACAAGCAAGCAAACAAACAAACAAACAAACAAACAAACAAACAAACAAACAAACAACCCCCCCCCCAAAAAAAAAAAAAAAAACACACACACACACACAAACTAACAACCCTCCCCCCCCCCAAAAAAAAAAAAAACAAGGGGAAGAACAGGAACAGCACACAAAAAAATTGCACCGCCGGCTCCTCTTGGCTCCAACGGACAACCCACGCAGAGGGGACTTTCCGGAACCCTCCGAGGCTGCGGCGTTGCCGGGTCATCACCCCCCCGTCGCAGGTGCGGGTGCAGCCGGTCCAAGGGCTCCACCTGAGACGCGACGCGACGCTGACGCGCGCCGGAAGCTTCAACCCATGGGGTGACCGGATGGCCTTGGATGGGCGTGGAACATCTTTTCGATGGGAGCACGGGCTTCTTTTCCGATGGGGTGTTTCTTCCTGGGGCTTGGAGATCCTGCCCTAAGGGTCCCTTTTTTTCCTGGGGTCCCGACAGTTTTTTGTGCCCTCCAAATGGGTTGTTGTTGAGGGTTCTTGAGGAGTAGGGGTCATGACCCGGGTGGATGGGGTTCGGAACACCACGAGATCAAGCTCCTGAAAAGGCCAATTCTGAAAAGACCGCCAAATGGACTTGACACCAAGCTTCTCAAGGCTTGGAATGACGGCCTTTGATTCCCCAGATTTGATCGGGACTGGGGGGGCCCATTTGACCGGGAACCCGTGGTTTTTTTTGGGGGGGACCCCTTGAACGGGTTCTAATAACTGGGTTCCGATTAATCGGAAGTGAAAAACGCCATGATCGTCCTTCGGTGCAAGCGATCAGAACCCGCAAACCCGCTGAGACTCTGGGGCCCTCTGATTATGTTTGGACACTTCCGTAAAGAAACACCGGGACGGCCCTCTTTCTCCCTCGAGAAAAAAGGGAACCCAGAAACGTTGAAGAAAGGACCCCTTGGTCAAAAAGGGTGTCCGTTAAGTGTGAGTGAATCCAAGCATTGGCGGATAAAAACGGGGAGACCACAAAAAGTAAAGCAAGGCGAGAAGGAGAAATGGAGATCTAAGAGTTTGAAGGGAGGCCAACAGGAAACCCCGCAAAGTTTGAGCTGTCCTATTCCAAAATATCATCGACCCAAAAGCAAAATTGAGCCCAGGTGAAACGAGAAAAAAAACAGAACACGAAAAAACAGTTCGTTCAGTTCAACGCCTTAGCATTTGTCCCCTGTCGGCAGCTGGGAAGCTCGGAGTCACATGGTTCTGTTGTCTCTTGCAGTTGGTGCCCTCAGGGCGGTTTCAAGGGGAACCAAAAGGACACCCCCCGCCACCCCACCCCCAGTTTGGGGTCCCCCTACTTTGACACATGCCCAAATCGCAAAGACGGCCTTTGAATGAATTCCTCTCAGCAGACTTTGACAAGCAACTGCAATGGGGCTGATACCAATGCGGCGCTGAGATACCGAGGCTGACATTGATACGTGTCAGAGCCGGTCTCTCCCTCGTCTCAGTCAACGACATTGCACTTCTGGATATTCACCGGGATATACATGTGTCTATGTGCGTGTCATGGTAAGAGCGCCTTGTGTGTGGGCCATGGTCGCGGCTCCCCCAATAGAAACCCCACAGTGTTTGTCTAGCATTCGTAGCAAAGGGTTCAATCCCGAACCACCCAAGTGGGTTTGACCATGGCACATATTGGAGGTGCAAGTCAGTCCCTTGCCTCAAGCAGGGCATAGCCTATGCCTTCGCAGGGTGCGTACTTCTTCTGGCGGCGAAATGAAAACCACAAGGATATGTATTTTATTCGGGGACCCCCCCAAAAAAGTGCGCTTGTGGTTTCCCTTCAAACCAAGGTAGGCAGAGTAGCCTTAAAACACACACCAATCTTGGGTCATATCCCATTTGCTCTTTGGACTGGCAAATAAGAGAGCCCTTTTTGCCATTGCACCCGAAACCTAGTGACAAACAAGTGCCAAGATGGTAGGTTTCAGAAGGCCTTTCATACTACAACACCTATACGGCCCACCCTTCTTGAGGCTGCCCCGTGTTTCCAAACCCCGAACTATCGTCAACAGGACCTACAGGGGTGAAATTCCGCCGCTGGAAGCGCAGGGCACCTCTTGATTGCTTGAGAAAGGGGAGCCTTTCTCAAACAGCTAGGGCAGGCTCCAGCTGACCAGCGACATTTGTGTTAAGGAAGCCCCTGACAAGGAACTGAGAAAGGAAAGGAACCCACAAAAAGGAACCCGTGGTTTAAATCGATCCCGTGTCTTGCTTTTGAAAGTAAAATTTCAAGGGACGGCGCGAATCACGGAGCTCTCCATTCGAGGTGCTCATCCCACTGGCAGTCTGCGGGGCACTCCGACCTCGCGGATATTTCTCTCTCGCTGCGTCTCCCCGATGGGCAGATCGACGTTTTCAACCCGCAGAAGTAACATGTAAAGGGCGAAAAAAGCGACACATGGTTCCCTGATCATGACTTGTGGTTTTAAAGTCTAGAATCCGATTCTGATTCTTGGGGCCCTTGTAGGTTATAATCATGGTGAGAACTGGGGCGGCTGGGTTAGTCTGCTCAGAACCATGGTCCTGATTGACCTGCTCAAGTGGGTTGAACACCAGAGGATGTGATCCGTGCCGACAGATTCCGAAACGATTTACAGGAAACGGGCGAGTCGCTTGCTCAAAACTCGGTACACAAATGGTCGTAATCCCAGAACCATGCTTCAATAAGAAGGCGGATATCCGCAGCTATTTATGGCTGGGATCGTCCCTTACTAACCTTCACTTACGTGGGTTTTGAGCACGTGGCTCAGGTGACTTCAGCCATGTTGTCCTGACATCTGATGACGTGAATATCAAAAAGGAACCGAGAAGCGCGTTGTTCGGCGCATGGCCCTGGCACGTTGCACTCTGAACATCCATCAAGAGTCCACCCTTCGCCGCGTTTGGAGCGGGCTTCAGCATGGCCCCCATTTGGCACGTCACCCAACAAGGGTGAGAACATAGAATTTTTCAGCGCATCCAAGGGATTGCCACTGAGATGGCAAGCAGCAAATGCCAACAGACCGCCTCGCAATCTCCAACACAAGGGGTCCGGGATGTGTTGGTCAGTTCTGGCTGAGAGCCGCATCAAACGCATCAAACGATGTCGGAGTAATGAACTGCTTTGGATTAACTAGGTCAACGTTCAATCCTGAAAACAGGACTCAATTGCTTCCTTTGTTCACCATGCTGGTCAAGGGCAAAGATGCGAGATGTTCCCAAACGTTGACCATTTCAATGCTTAGGTGCTGAATTAGCGTGGGTTTCAACCACCAGGGACGATTTGCCTCAAAGAACGGCCGGCGACAGCTTTGTTGCTCATGCTCTTTTACCAGAATTTGGCCACCTGCGTCAAAACGCTCAAACCTTGGTAGCTTCTACGTCAGTTAGGTCTCCCTTCGTCTACCTGTGCCTATCAAGTATAGCTGCCCCTTTACATACGTCTAAGATGGATCCTGTCCAATCCTAACCCCTACCCCCCCCCCCACTATCGGCAATGTTCAAGGTATATGCCCACTTTTAAAAGGCAATTGGTGGTTTGGGGGTACTGAAAGCCATTTGGGATTATCATATGCTTTGCGTTTTGTGAATACATACATACATATATATATATATATAGTATCTATACACACATACATACACGCATGCTGCATACATATAATGCCACAAAGATGGGGCCAAGAGGTTTGAGCCCGAAGCGCCGAACTTGTCCCGTCGCCGCCACCCCGCTGAAGCGTCGCCCGTCCAGGGCTCTCGGGGCTCCGGCGTTCCGCAGGGCTGCTCCTCCTTGGCGTCGCCCAAACAAGGGGCGCCGCTGTCGTGCGCCTCCTTCACCTGAGATGGAACACCGAGGTTGGAGAGATTCAGACGTGTAGAGATACAACTCTAAGGGCCTATATCATTTGAACGGGGTTCGGATTGAACGCCAGATTCGGTCATGAGCGTCAGGAAAATCGTGTGTGTGTGTGTGATTATTGTGCCCCTTATATCTCCCCCCACCCCTCCCCTCTCCCCGCAAGCGACTCGTGACTCGCGACTCGCGCGCGGCGCCGAGGTGCCACGGTGCGCGTGCGGGATGTGGTGCCGCCGCCGCAGGTCTGCGCGAGAAGTGGGTCGGTTCTCCAGACAAATGGGGGGTTGTTCCCTCCAAAAGTGGTCTGAATCCCCACTAAAACCGTATTCATCAACCAGGGGTTATTAATCCGGGGTTAACATTAGGTGTCCTTGTTGGAAAATAGATGGATTTCCCTGGTAGATGATTGAACCACCAAATGAACCAGGGCCTTCTATGTTTTGAGCAAAACAACAAAAAAAACTATGCCGGGAAACCGCCCCCAGACAAATGGGGTGGGGCAGGAGTCCAAACTCTGCTTGAGACAAACTACCAACATGGGGAAAATGATTCGACCCGTTCTGCGATACCAACATGGAGAAGGGGTATCAACCAAAACGGTTTGGGGAAGTCAATTGTAGTCAACCAGCGGTTGAGTTCCCGGATAGTGGTCATTCCCAAGGTAAGTTTCCACCACCGCAATAAAAAGCCCGTGCGAACAGGGAATTTGTGTCACAAAGCGGGCCTAAATCGTGTCCCGTCTTTCAATGGGAGAAAAATCAAAGAACTTCAAATTCAACCAATCATTCTGAAGGACTCCGATCGCATCGAACTCAGATTTGTGTTTTTTCAAAACGTCCCAAGGGGACCCATTTTGTGTGAATTGCGGTTGGGTAAAAGGAAGCTACAGGACCAGGGCAAACGGCCTTTTGACCGATTCCCGCAGGGAATCAAGTTAAAGAAGCCCTCAACTTGAGGTGCTTTGGGGTGTCGCCTTCTGTAACAAACGAATCCAAAGGTGCATCCTGGATGAGCAAAAAGCCACCTGCCATCCTCTCACGACCCAAGCTGACTGTACTTGCCCTGTTTCATGAAACACCTGGCGTGTTCCGGCGCGAGGCTTTCACTTCGCGGGTCACGCCGGCACGGCTTTTCCGACCCGTCGTTGTTTTTGCCTTGTTTGGTTGTTTTTGTTGTTTAGCTTCTTCCTGGAGAGGGGGGGGCGGTCAGCATGCATTGTCTCCCAAACTGACCAGTGAGTTTGACTTCAAAAACTGCAACCAGCCACCCCCGAGGGGCTGGGTCGTCAAAGGACCCTGAATGAGGGCGCATTTGGGCTTCATTCTTTTTCGGGCGCCTTGGCTTGTCAGATCATCAAAAACCACTCCACAGGGTACCCCATATCACCGCAGTCTTTGGCAACCCGTCGGCTGCAGATGGCCTTTCCAGTAAGCCTGAGGTGATCGACCCTGTTGATCAGGGAAGAGCACAGGATATTCGTCAAACCTTGGATTGAGCGGCCGAACTTCCCGGAGTCCTTGGTAGAGCCAAGCCGCTGCTTAATACCACCCTTTAAGGGGGCACATAAGTACCCCAACATACAGGGGCTGCATGAATCACTATCCCAGTCCAAACAACCAGTCAACTGGGAGCTACCCAACATTTGCTCTCAATTCAAACCACCGTTTCAGGGAAGTTACCCCTCCAAATTTGCTCCGCGCTTTCCGCTTCGATCGAACATCCTTTGATCCAACGCTAATTACTCGATGGCCGGGGCCTGGCTGCAGTCTGTGAAGGCGGACCAATCGCTCCAGTGGCAATCTTCGGGACAGGGGTGCTTGTTGCAAAGCTCCTGCGCGGTGAGCTTTTGGTTGTTTTCTGGGAGGTAGCCCCGGTTTTGGGGGTTGGTTTAGAGGCGGCAAGCCGAAAGGAAAACAGGCATTCTTAAGGTTCCGCAACACACACACACACACAAAGACACACACACACACAGACACACACAGACACACTCACACACGCTCAGACACACACACACACACACACACACACTTATCTCGAGAGGCTTCACTAGCCGAGATGCAAAACGCAGTCAGTAAAAATGCTTGAATGCAAATGCAAATCAACAGGTCACAACATCGACACCGAACAGGAAGCAACAGCGACAAACAGAAACCGCAAAAAGAATCAGGAAAGAGGGTCAGGAAATAGGCAGGTACGCCGGATTGATCAGATCCGGTATCCACCGAAATGCCGTAGCTTCATTGGACTGGATAGGCAAATCGGCTCCAGTCCCCCTGCAATGTGGAATTTCCGTCCGTGCTCCAGGACGCTTCACACACACGGAGCCCCAACTGGGGCGACATCACTTGTGCAAGGCCCATTGAGTCTTGCAAGCATCAATTGTGCGAGAAAGTCTTGTGGCGATGACTGACCACGCATACTTGGCTTTGGAATTGGTCTTAAGGGAACGGAGGAGTTCAATCTCTCCCTCAGTCCAAGGCTGCGAGGCTTCAGGTTCGGCCTCAGTAGAGGCATCAGTCCTGGTCGATGTGGTAGCTTCGCTTGGTCCACGAGCAGGTTTTGGATGCCGTAGATCGTGAGGAGGCCAAATCACGTGCGCGGCGAGCTCGTTTTTTGCCGGGAGAAGACGGAGGAGGGGTGGGCGGAGCCCAATGATCAGGGAATTGTTCGTCATGATCAGTGGGAAGGTGTTCATCTGGAGCATCAGGAGGTGGCTCAAAGAGGTCCTCGAGGGGGCCAGGAGGGGTGTTGGTGGTGAGTTGGTCAGGTCCTCAATGGCGGGGTTGAACGTGGCCTCCGGTGCCAAATCAGGTTCGGCAGGCGGACTCTCAGGGAACTCGCGGATGGTGGCGATGCCTTGTTGGGCAATGCCAAGGATGAGTTCGAAGTCTTGGAGCAGCTGGCGTGCTGTGTTGGTATCCATGCTCGTAACGGATTTTGGTCAAACAGTCAAACAGCTGCGGCGCGAAAATCAGGTCAAATCTGTCAGGATGCAAAGGCAGAGAAGAAAACCAGTGTGGTTCCGCAAAGGACGGTTTTTCTTCTCTTTGTAAGGTGAAACCGTGTTGGAGGTGCAACCTCTTCAACATTGCAAGACCCTGACCTCGCTGAAACTCAGGAAAGGAAACTCGGTTGATCAGCGTGCGTCCGGAATAACATCCAGATTCCTTATGCATCAGTGGTGCGGCTGACTTGACGGAGAGCATGTTGTGCTTCTCATGCGAGGGGATGAAGGAGATGGTGCTGCTTGTGAGGTTCAGTCGGAACCCCAAGAAGTCCAGGGCGGCTTCTGTGTCCAGGAAGATGTCTCCTCCATAGAAGTGTTCGTCGCACAGTATGTTGGCTGCCGGAGTCGAGAGCCACCTGGGGGTTGCGATCACGAGTCCGTTGCCCACGTAGCGGAGTAGGAGAGTACCTTCAACGGAGCGAAGCCCCGATGCGATGCGAGTGCTGGCCCAACATTGCTCGGCGACCGCGATCACCATCAAACAGAGAGCTGGGGACGCGGGGGATCCCATCGGTGCCCCACGTGTTCGCCTGAATGAACGAAGGCCGACAGAGAAGATCTGCATGTCAAGGGTGGCCTGAATGATCTCGGGGATGTCGTCGAGCCACAGGGTGCGTTGTGTGGGTTCGTGCCGGCGACGGCGTCCGTTGTAGACGCGGGTGATGGCAGAGGTGTCAAGTGTGTCCACTGTGAGGTGTGTGGTAGAGGAGTGTGGTTGTCGTTGTCGGTACCAGGTTAGCAGTAGTCGCCAGGCGAGGAAGGGTGCAAGCATCGGTCTCGAGGGGCCAGGTGGAATGAGGCCCCGGAATTGTAAACTGGATCGAATGGCGGAAAGGCATGCCTGGTGGTGTGGTTCAGGCAGGTGTGTGGCTATGCGATGAAGGACATAGAGAGCGGCGGGTGGGAAGTCCCTGGTCCGTATGTAACGGATGGCATCAAATCGTCGTAGAGTGTTGCTGCCAAGATCGCCCAAAAATCGCCACAAATCCAGGCGGTTGTCCACGCGTTTGGCCAGGAAGGCCTGTTGTAGGGCGATGGGTAGTCGTAGTCGGCGGCGTTCCCGCCAGATGGTGGCGAAGCCCATGTGCCGGGATTGGGAGAAGTCCAATTTGGCGTATGAAGCCCGTGCGTGGCCGGAAATGCTTCTCGATGAAGCCAAAATTGAGAGACGGTTGCAGTTCCTGGATGCAGAACTGTTCAGTGGCAAATAGGTCCGTTGCCGGAACGACAGTGTGAATGGGCACCGAGGTGTAGTGGTGGAAAAAGTCGAAATGTGCCCACCACCGGACTGCCAGTTTGGCATTGACCAGATGATGTCGCTGAACTTGGAGTAGTTTGCGAAGTTGGCTGCGGCCCCGTGCCATGAGGGAGGCGCGAGTGGCTCCGAGGTAGAAAAAGGCCTGCCACTTTGGATGGCTGGTGAATCTCAGATAAACCGCTGAAGGGACAAGCTGAGAAGAGAAATCGGAAGCAGGGTTGTCCAGGCCAAGTCGAGTAAGCAGGGCTTTCAGTCTGCCACAGGAGAGATGGCAGACGTCAAGTAGCTGAAGCTGTGCGAGTAGCCAGGAGCAAGAATGACGTGCGGTGACGTCATCGGTTGGGAAGAACCGAAGAGTGAAACGGAGGACAGTGAGAAGTTGGCAGCAGTGGTGTTGCCAAATTTTGTGCTGCCTGGCTGTGCGTCGTTGTCGGTGTGCTGTTGAGAGTCACTGGTAGAAGTGACTCGCAGCGGCCAGGATGCGGCCCAAGGCCGATGACCCCAGTTTTGATAGGGTTCGCACCGGGATGCCCCATAGCACAGCGGCTCGTTCGAGTTGGGCTCTGGTGTCGGAGTCCAGTGTGGTTGCCCATTTTGCGCAGTCGTTGGACCAGCTTTTTAGGACTTGCTTGCTCTCTTTGCTGGTTTTCTGGGAGGTGATCCATCGCTGGACTTTGGTGTCGGAAATGTCGGGTGGGAAGTTGCTGGTGAGCCATTGGCAAACGTGGGGAGGTGGTTGGAGCAAGTCGCGGGGCTCCTTCCAAGTGGGTGGGGAGGGGAGGAGGGGAGGGGTCGGGGTGCCGCCGTGGGTGGAGGGGGCTGGAGGGTTGCCGCCGTGGGTGGGGGGAGCCGGGGGGGGTTGGGAGTCGTCTGCAATGCGAGTGGGCAGGGGTAGGGCGGGGGATCCGTCCTGCGGTGATGTGTCAGGTGTAGTCAACCGTGGTCGCTTCATGCCGAAGTCCAGGAGGGAGGCCTGAGATGGACGGGGGGAGGGGGGGGAAAGGGGTTGCCGCCGGGAGGGGGGGGGAGAGAGCCGCCAAAGGAGGGTGGACGAGGGCCGGGGTGTGGTGGGTAACGGGGAATAGGTTGGCCGTAGGTCTGACAGGGAGTCGGATGTGTGGCTGGCGGTGCCGATGCCGTGGAAGAGCATCCGTAGGAAGGCCCGGACAGGGCCCCGCACGGGTTCCCGGCCATGTTGTTGCCGTACACGATGCCATGATGATGGGATGCCGTGGGCGAAGGCTGCGGTGGTAAGTTTCGCCTTTGGAGCGCCGTAACCAAACCTCGAGGGGGTTGGAAAGCCATGAGAAAACACGGGGGAAAAGGAAATGTTCGAACCACAAGCTGGTGAGCGGAATCAAGCGGGTAAGGTCACAAGGTGAGAGAACGGTCGCGGAAAGACAGAACAGCAAAGCAAAGAAAAAAGGCGATCAAACAGTGCACCAATTCTTTCCCTGGTTGGGTGGAAGATGGTACAGTTGCGCCCCGCTAAGCCGGGCGCTGCAGCGCGATGCCTCTCAGCATCGTAAACTTGGAGTGAAGGCACCACTTTTTGCCTCGGCGGCATGCGAAGTGGCGCCGCACGTTGTGTTGATCCTCGTGGCTTCCCCCGGATTCGAGGATTTTGTGCTGATTGATGGAGCGTAGTTCCCCAAAAGCGATGGCGCCGAGTTGAGACTTTCCGTTTGTAAAGTTCTGCAAGAGCTGGCCGAGCGTGTCGGGCGTGCATGCCGTGGGGGTGGCCTGAGCGTAGCATCCAAAGCTCG